CAGGAATGCGAAAATCCACCCTCAGTGGGGCTGGACACACTGCAATCCCTTCTCCGTTCTCTCGGGATCTGGGGCACGCAAGTGCGCACACACACTCGGCGTGACTTCTAAGCTGCTGGGTCCGGGTCTCGAACCGCACAGCCAGGCATGTGGGATCCAGTGGCTTAGCCACCACGCACCTGTTGGCGCTCTCCTGTCCTCTTACCGCGCACACAGATGAAAACAAGCGGCCGTCAATGTCTGCTTTACTTACTACGATGGGTATTTTCTTGGCTCTTCCTACAAACATTTTCCTGCCTGCCTAGTATTTCGACGCACGTGCGTCCTAGTCTAACCTCCCCGAGCTCGCGGGCATTTAGGACCCCTCCTGCCTCCTTTTTGCTGTTCTAAGGAAAGCGCGTTTGATGGGTGACTTCTAGAAGAACTGCTTGTGGGGAAACCGCTGAGGGACAGACGCGAAGACGGTACCAACATTTACAGAATCCTCGGGTTACTTTTCTTTCATTCTTCTTTCCTGTCTGCCTCCCTCCCTTTGCTCTCCTCTTCTCTTGCTCTTTTGCTAGAGGGTCCATGCCCTCGCCAGAGAGAAAAAGAAAAACAGAGAGCGGAAGGACAGAAAGACCCGCGTGAGGGAATGCCAGGCCGCCACCCCTGTTGCACCACCCCGCCCTCCCGCTCAGCACGACAGACACACGAGCCCGTGTGCGCGGCCTGCTTCTCCAGCCGCTGGGTCGAGGACTCGAACTGCTCAGGCAGCCCTGAGAGAACTCACTGTCCTAACCCCGGGTCATGGACCCAGCCCCGATTTTCCACGCTAGTAACTAACTCGCAGGCTTTATTCCTGAAGTGCGGCCGTGGGAGCCAGGTCTCGGGAACGTGGAGGCATGAGAGGGAGCAGGGCTTGGACACGACGGGGCCAGCTGCTCCTTCGTCCCCTCTCAGCCGTTCCTGTGAGCAGGGCCGGGGCCAGGGACTAGGGAGCGATCAGGACCAGAAGGGGGCGTGGGGAGAGACGGGCTTTAAGTCGTCCCTCAAATGACGTGACAACTCTGTCAGGTGCCAGCAAGGAGGATGTGTGAGGCTAAGAATGGCGGCACAGACGTGACCGGGGCTTGGGGACAACTGTCCAGTGCAGGTGACAATCCGGCTGAGGGCTGACTGTGGGCGGTGGGAGGGAAGGGCATCAGGCCAGAGGAACAGCACGCAGGGTACACAGTGTCAGGGGGAACTGAGACAAGGTCCTGCGACAGCCCCGGGGAGGGAAGGAGGTTTAATGACGCCCCCTAAGTTCATGTCCAGGGGCCAGCAGGTGGCGTCGTGGTTAAGGTGCTGGACTCCCACATGGATGATTGTGGTTTGAGTCCCAGACTTGGCAGCTTGCTTGTTCACTTTCCCTCTCTCTTTCTGTCTCTTTTGTTGGTAAAATTAAAACATAATAACAACAAATAAAATAAGTAAGTAAAAATATTTTTTCAAAAGAATTCATGGAGTTAAACTAAGACATTTTAACATTTGGGCGCTGGATTCACACATGGTCAACCATGGTTCAAGCCCTGGACCTGGACCTCACTCCACGCCCATCCTCCCTCTGTCCCTCTCTGGTCAAATTAAAAGAAACAAACAAACAAATAAATAATTAAATAATACGAGATTGTCACCTCTTATAGATGGAGCATTAAAAAAAAAAAAAAACTATGCAATTTTATTCATTGTTATTTTAGTATCTGATGAGAGGTAGAGAGAGAAAGAGAAGGAAGGTGAGAAAGCAGGCCGTTAGGTCTGGAACTTGTGGGACAGCCATGTAGGAGTCCAGCACCCTAACCACCACACTGCCTGCTCACCCCTTTATTTATTTATTTATTTTAAAGAATTATTTATTGAATTTTTAAAATTATTTATTTTATTATTGTTATCATTCATTTTTATCAGAGAGAGATGTAGGGGGGGGGAGAGTGAGAAAGCAAGCTGCCAGGTCCAGGAATTAAACCACAGTCAGCCATGTGGAAGTCCAGCGCTCTAATCACCATGCCACCTGCCGGCCCCCAATGTTTGCTTTGGAGAGGTTTTTGCTATAGATCACATGCACCCGCCAGAAAGACAGAGAAAGACAGAGAGACAGAAATCACCCCCCAGGGGGGATGGCCACACTGCAATCCCTTCTCCTCCATTCTCCTCTTAGGATCTTGGGCACGCACGCACACGTGCCCAGTGTGAGCTTAAGCCACCGGGTCCGGGACTCGAACAGCAGTTGACAGGAGTCCAAAGCCATTACACCATCTGCTGGCCCCATTCATTCATTCATTCATTCAATCATTTTTATTTGACCAAAGGAAGATAGAAATACAGAGAGAAGAAAAGTGAGAAAGCGAGCCACCAGGTCCGGGACTCGATCCGTAGTCGGCCAAGCGGGAGTGTCTAGCGCCTTAACCACCACGTCACCCGCTGGCCCTCATTCACTGTTTTCACCTTTGCGGATGGGGCACTTTTACAGATGTGAACAGAGGATAAACGCGAGCTCATCCTGGAGAGCAGCGGGTGGCGTGGTGGTTAAGGTGGCAACACGGCCCACAGCAGTTTGAATCCTGGACCCCACAGCTTGAAAAGCACGCCAGGTGAGCGTGTGTGCGTGCCTGAAATCCCGGGAGTGGTGAAGGGACTGCGGCGTGGCCATCCCCCCGAGGGTGACTCACTCCCCCTCTGTCTCTCGTCTGTCGGGCAAGCGCACACACCCTACTGTAAAAGTCTAGACAAGGGCGAACGATGTAGACAGATGTCTCTCCCTCGAGGACCGACGGTTAGGAAGCACGTGGGAAAATGATGGGGCTGGCAGCGGGTGTGGTGGTTAAGAGCGCTGGACTCCCACATGGCCAAGTGTGGTTCGAGCCCCGGGTTGCTTTCTCAGTTTCCCTTCCCCTCTCTCTCACTCTGTCCCTCTCTGGTCAAATAAAAAAAGCTAAATAAAATAATTCTTAAAAATAAATAAAATAAAATAAAATAAAATAAAATAAAGAGAAAAATACGCAATACCATGAGTGACCTGGGAAATGCAGACTGAAACCACCCGAGGTGGCCGGGATCCGAGCTGAGGCGAGAACTGGGGCTGGGGAGAGTTTGGAGAAAGTGGAGCCACACACATGACTGGTGGCAGCGTAAAACAGCATGGGGCCGGGAGGTGGCGTGGTGCTTAAGGGCACTGGACTCCCACAAGGCTGACCACGGTTCAAGTCCTAGACCTTGCGGCTTGCTTTCTCACTGTCCCTCTCTGGCCAATTTTAAATAAATAAATAGTTTTTTTTAAAATGATGAAAAACAGCGCAGGCACTGTGGGAGACAGCCTGGCAGCTCCTGGAAAGGTCAGACACGCCACTCCCGCTCCCGGGTGGGCCCACGGGCAATGAGAACACAAAGCCACAGGAAAACGAGCAGGCGGCCTCGCTCCCGCTCCCGACAGCGCTGGCGGAGACACCCCACGCCCATGACCGGTGGCCGGGCGACGAACCAAGCGCCCGCGCACCAGAAGGCCGCAGGGGAATGAAGCCCAGGCACAGTCGGCACACGGGTAGTCTGGGCAGAAATCACCCGGGGCCTGTGAGGCCCACACCAAAGAATCCCAGGAGCCCCTGGATCTGAAAACATGTTTTTTCTTTTTTGAGAGAGACTTGCTATAGGGAGTGTGCACTTGCAGGAGAGACAGACAGAAAGCGAGAAATCACCCCCCGGGGGGATGGCCATGCTGCAATCCCTTCTCTGTTCTCCTCTCGGTATCTCTGGCACATGTGTCTGGCAATGAGTTTTTAAATCACCGAGTCTGGGACTCGAACCATGGAGTCCTGTGACGTAACCATGAAGCCACCTGCGGTCCTCCACAGTGTTTAGAATAGGCAGAACCAGAGTCAGGACGGAAGTGCGTGGCTGCTTGGGCCTGGAGGGAGGAAGACCCCTAGGGTTCACAGCAGGCCAGGGCAGGGCTTCGCTCATGGGGCTGTCAACACCCTACGATGGGTGGTGGCAAGGGCCGCTTGGCAGGGCCGGGCCAGCACGCCGTACTGAGCCACTCCACTGGGGCGGCAGGGCCTGTACGTCAGCCCATGGAGGCGACCGTGAGAGTCAGCACGCGGGCTGACATAAACAGTCCCACGGCTGCGGGGCTGGACGCACTCCCGTGGGAGCCTCTCGGGCCTGCGCCTGGGCCCACGCCTCTGCTCCTCGGGGCTCTTTTTCTTTCTGAAGCTATTTGTTTTTTTTCCCCAACATTTTGTCTTAAGAATTATTAATTTAATTTTATTTCTTCTTCAATTTCACGAGAGCGAGAGAGAGAAAGAGCGAGTGAGAGAGAGCGAGTGAAAGCTGCCAGCTCCAGACCTGGAACCGCAGTCGGCCGTGAGGGCACCTGGTGCCTGTACTACCTACTGGCCGAGGCCTCAAACAACGGTAGGCCACGTGGGAACCCACACCCTAACCGCCAAGTCACCTGCTGTTCCCTCCCTCCCCCAGGGCTTGTTCACGGCCCTGGAGCCAAAGGCGGGAAAGCAGGGAGGCTGTGGAGGGAGGCGGCCTCCGGGGTCTTGGCTGGGCACCTGGCCCCGTCCGCACTTCCCGGCCCTCCAGAAGGGACGGAGGTGAGCTCACACGCGGGGGGTGTCCCAAGTGTCAGGGAAGGCAGGGCTGCTGCACCCGCTCTGGGGGTGGTGCCCGGTCCGGCAAAGCTGAGAGCTGCCGCCTGCGTCACCTGCTCTGGAGACGGTTTTCTGATGCACACCCGGGCTGCACTGTTGGTCACACCCAGGCACTCAGCCTCCGGGGTGGGGACGGTCTGACTCGTCACCCTACCCGGTGCTAACCCCGATGCCAGGCACCTGGTGTGGCACGTCTTGGCCTGGGGGCCAGGATGCGGGCAGGAGGCCCGGGACACCACACGGCTCTGACTCAGCCGTCTGCAGCTGCTCCTGCCAGGGCCTAGTGTGGTGCCAACGGTGAGGCCGTACTCTCTGTGCCACCCTGGGGTGACATGCCCGAGTGGGGATCAGGGACATCTCGACCAGGGGGCAGGGCGCCAGGCAGGCACCCGCCTATGGCCGTGTTTCTCCTGTTCACAGGTGCCCGCAGGCCAGGCCTGGCTGATGGGCAGCACCCTCTTCACTTCACGAAGAGGGAACCTCGCATTCCACAAGTTGCTCTCCCTGGCGGCAGGCTGGGAGCTGCTCAGGGGACAGCGTGGCCCGTCCTGTGCTCAGACATGGCACCAGAGGAAGCTGAGCACCCCAGCCCTCGTCGGACAACCTCGTGGCCGTTCACGAAGCCCAGCCAGGAGTGGCTAAGACCCGCGTCCACACGCTCCCTCCCGGCCGGCCGCTGGCTGCACCGCGGCCCTCTCCAGCATGTACCTTGAGCCACTGCTTCTCGGTCAGCGAGTCGCTGTAGTCCACCTCCTTGCGGTGGCGGGAGCCGCGGCCGAACATCTTCTCCTCCTCCTCCTCGCAGGTCAGCCGCTCCACCTCGGCGTCGTCCTTGATGATCCAGGACGGCAGCTCGTCCTCCTCCATCAGGCGCGGCTTCCGCTTGGGGTTGCGGGCCTCCTCGCGCCTGCGGTCCAGGTCCATGCGCTGGGTAGGGAGAGGGACGTCAGGCTGGGGGGAGCCAGCCGGGACAGCCCACCTCTGTCCTCACCGACCCGCCCTCCACGGGGGTCTTCAGGGCTGGCCTGGCCCGGCTGCTAAAGCAGACTTGGGCGAGTGGGGGCTCTGCCTGGGACTGCCCAGAAAACCGGGACTGTGGGGGAGAAGGGGGGCTGCAGACCCCTGCAGCGGGGCAGAAGGGGTGGCAGCTCCACGGCACAGCCTTGGCCAATGGCACAGGGCCTGCCAGGCCGCAGGGACCCCGGGCTGGGAATTTACACACTCCTCTGCTTCCCGGCCAGGGGATGGGGCTCAGCGTCTGAGGCCCTAGTCAGCCCCGCCCTGGGAAAGGGAGTGCAGCCCTGGGGGTCCTGTCAGCACACGGACGGCCATGTGCACCCCATGTTCCCTACGCCTGGCCAACCCTCAGGGACACGTCCTGTGCGTGTGGACACGCGGGGCGGGCGCAGCTCACCATGAAGAGGTCGAACTCCTCCTCGTGCCGCGCGATCATCTGGTTGACCGTCTCGTCGTCGGGCACCTCGTCTTCTTCCTACAAGACGGCACACTGTGAGTGGGGCGGCGGGGGTCCCGGGCGGGCGGTGGCGCCCCGTGGGCGATGAGCGGACGGTCCCAAGCTGGCTGCGGTGGATGGGGACCCACGCGCAGCGAGAAGCACACACGCACACGCACGCACACGCTCGCTCCGTGGGCGCAGGGCCCTGGCTGGCCGTCTCAGCCGCGACGCCGAGGACTGAATGGGCGTGGAGACTGAACTACCCCGCTCACCTTTAGAGGTGGCTCCTCCAGGTCGGCGTTGACGCCC